CTAACCTTCACACACTTTCATTGAGGCGCCGAGTGTCCCGTCTCTCTCTCCTTCACCGAATCTTTCACTATAACATGCCTCTTCGTGAATCTCTGCTTTTACCCCCGTGGCAGATTTTCCCCCGCTTTGACCACTCCTGCAAGTTGCGGCCCATTTTTTCATCAACTACTTCATACAGTAATTCAACTTTACCTTTGGCAATAAACGATTGGAACATACTACCAAATGACATTGTTACCATAACTGACACACATAAATTTGCCGCCTCTGTAACCATTTTCATCTCTTCATTATCCGACTAGTTCCCTCTTCTATTGTGTTAAAATTGCGTGCGGAAGTGTTCGATTAAGAAAAATAATAACAAATGTACCACTCCCTTGTGTAATGCCCGTAAGGGCCTTCAAGGATAATAAATGATGAATGATGATGATGATGATGTTCAAGCATTCCCTTTCTGCGTGGTAGCGTTCTGTGGCTAGCAAAAATCATTTCCTCGCTAAGCTCACGATTATGGCAAAATAGTTGCCGGAAACCGCAGACGACACTCGTCGCTAGTTCTGGCAAAACGGCCGATACAATCTTTTTTTCGCATTTCCCCGCTCGCTGTCAAGGACAAGGGGGTTCGCTTCAACCAGCAAAACATGGCCGCGGACGCCTGTTTACTGAGCAGTCATGCCTGTCGCCATCTCACTCGCTGGCGTCACGGGCGATAATATCAGGCACAAAGGGGCACACCAACCGGCAGCATTATCCCCAAATACTCGAGCCTCACGTAAATACATAGAGTGTAAACGCCGTCGCCATGTTATCGTAGTAAGACCGCCCCCCCCCCCCTCCCCCAACGGGGGACTGCAGTACGCGACGGCGTACTAACACAACGGCGACGATATCGACATCGCGGGCTCCGAATTTTCCCATAGTTCTACTCCACGGGCATTTCTCGAAACGCTTGATATTGTGTACGCCCGCCTGGAAGGATTTCAGGCGCGTAGTTAAGATAAGGCGGTTCTCCGCGGCAAAAGAAAGCAATTTCACAAAAGCTTAAAAGCGGCGGCGACGCGTGTGCGGTGAACGCTTGTAGTTTTAGTGTAGACAGGGTGTGTGTGTTCTCGTTGTTGACACCAGCCGGCGATAAGGCACTGCAGGCGGTAGCTCAGTACAGCAATGGCTAATCCGAGTGACCATCAACGTAACCCCACCGCCAACCCCTCGCGAACCGGTCGCCGACATGGCTCAGGCTGTGTCATGAACCACGTGTTAGAAGCTCGGGTGCTTTCATATCAGCGCGTGGAGGGACGACAGTGCGATTCCGGAAAGTCTTTTTCGAAGGCCGCAGACCACAATTTTTTGTCTGGAGACTTTCCCTCTTTCTTCCTTTGACGTGGATCAAGCTTTGCCGACAGCCTCAGTTGTGACCTCTCTTTTCAAATGTACGTTTGCAGTGAGTGAGCTCCTCAGCCTCGGACTTGTCACTTGTGCACCCAGTAGTTCTTTCACTTGGCAATTATATGCCATCAGTTGGGGTTTAATTTCTATTATTTATGTATACATTATGAAGACGTCCTGGAGCTCCGAACGAGTGTTTTGTGCAGATTACTTTTGCAAACACAAAAAGACTATACCAAAGCAGCGGAATTTTCGAAGTGTTGGCGAGTTGGACCTAAACTCGTTGAAGCAAATTCTTCCGCCTGACTGTTCCACCAAAGTGAGTGCGACGGACTACCTGTGCTACCATTGCTTCATGCACATCACTAAGGAGATCTCGATGCGAAGCTCAGAGCAGTGCCCTGACATATTTGTGCCAGCTGAAGAAGCAATTGAAGATCTAAATCGCAGCATACTACCTACAGATGTGTCGCCGCTGAGACAACCAAGCGTCGTAAGAAGTCGGGACAGGCCTGCCTATGTCAAGAGAAAGCAGACAGAACTGGAGCAGGTTGCTGTCAAGAATATACGCTCAAGGCTACGTATTGCGTACGACAGGGACGCACCATCGGGGTCGTTCGAACCAACATGCTCCACATGCACTGAGTGGGTGGACAACTTTCGGCAGGCCTTTGAAACCGCCACCTCTCTCCGGGAACGTTGTCAACTGCTTACACTATTGCCGTCAACAGTGACGAAGAATGAGGTTCAAAAGATGATCCCACAGGCCTCAATGTACCTCATCAGTTAGTCCCGAAAACTCAAGGAAAAGCATGGCGTGTGGTATGAGCCGGATCCTTACACGAGGTGCAAGGTGAGCCCTGAGAAACCTGTCTGCTGCCCTAGAGTACTTCACGAAAGACGAGCTACAATGTTCGCGCCAAAGTCCCAACCAGAAGGACGTCATCTCTGTCATGCTCAACGGAGAGAAAACGTTCGTGCCAAAGCGCTTCATGACACGCTCAATACGAGAGGCCTTCCGTATATACAAAGACAAGCATCCCGATTCCGGCGTTGGGCTAACGAAATTTTATTCGTTGCGCCCTAGATGGGTCCAATGTATTCCACACCAGGAAGTGTGCGTTTGTGTGCGCTGCGCCAATTATTATCTTTGTATTGCCGCTCTAGAGAACGTTACAGGCTCAACATTCAACACTGGTGAAATGAACTCGGCATTTCTGTGCGACCCAGCAAACAGAACTGTGCCTTCAAGGAGACTGTGATCACTGCCCAAAAGGCCAGTTTCTTACACTCCAGGAACTTGATATCCCGGAGGATGAAGAGATTGTGCTTGCAACATGGGAGTCCGGCGACCTTGTGAAAAAAACTTTGGAACCTGAGACTTTCCTAAAAGTCATCCAAGTGACGGTTGGAAGTTGGGTACTTCACAACCATATCCGGCAAACGCAAGGTAAAGCGATCTACGATGAAAAACAGTGCATGCAACGCGGGAGCATTGTCTTTCATTTTGACTTTGCTGAAAACTGGACCATCGTGCTTCCTGACGACGTGCAAGCATATCACTGGAAAAAAAAAAAAAAACAAGTTTCGATATTTACATGTGTAGTGACGACAAGAAAATCTGCAAACAGCTTTGCCATCATCAGTGAGGACCTGTGTCACGACGCCGCTCACGCTTGCTTGGCTCTAGAAAAAGTGAAGGAGTGGGTTGAAGACAACGTTGCGGTATACTCGTACGTGACGTACGTAAGTGACGGCGCCGCCAGTCATTTCAAGAATCGCTACCAGCTTCACCAATTTGCAGAGGACGATTGCCCACAAGCCCAGTGGTTATTTTCTGAATCTGGACATGGGAAAAATGCATGTGACGGAGTTGGCGGACTCGTGAAGCACCAGGCCACGCTGAACAACCTGAGAGAACGTTCAGTAAGCGCAATTCAGACGGCCAGGAAAATGGTGAGCGTTCTATCAAAGAAACTGAAAGGCGTGCATCTTGTATATCTGGACGAAAATGAGGTTGTTCGGTATCGTGAACAAAAAAAAGAAGAGTGGCTGACGGTGCGCGCCTTCCCTGGCATTCAGTCTTGGCACGCGTGGCGGCTCAGCATGTTATCAACAGAAGGGAGCTGTGACGTATATGTAGCACGGACAGTCGGATCTGCTTGGAAGCAACTTTATTAAATGGGTACAGCGAGGAAAACCTTAGCGTAAAGTGCCGAATTTGATTTCCCAAGGACTGCTCATTTTGAATGCAGGGACATCTTATTTATCACATTTTTCTTCACGGGGTATTTAACCTACTGTTTTTGTTGGTGGTTACTAATAATTTTTATCTGATCACTATAAAAAAAATCCCAAAATGTTATCCTCGAGCAGGATAAAATATATCGGCTTGCCACGATTCATTCATACACCCAGAGCATCGAAGCTGCTCCAGTTAGGCACTATGGCATCCGTCACCTGAAATTGTTTGTAATCGTAAATACACAGCCAACCTAAATATCTTACTATTATATCTTTGTTTTTGTGTGTGGAAGTAAAGTTATTTATTTTACTCTAGATGTAAAATATACCGGAAGGTACAACTTCACACTGCATCATCTTTTCTCAAATCATTAGTCTCTAATATGATACCACTTTGTACGCTTATGTAAAATGCTGTATATAGTTTCTCCTCCCTTTTACTGTGTGACCGATCGCTCTTTTTATCAATGACCTTTTCTGAATAAATGTATATAAAAGATTTGTGCAAGTTTCATGAAACTGGAACTCAGAGTCACTTCTTGTGTAGGACACTGCTAAGTGTAGGCTTTGAAAAAGGACCCTATTTTGGGGTCCTTTTGGGGACCCAGCGGCAGCCGACCATGGATGATGTGTTCGTCTCCCCCCTGACACGGGTGACCAGGCGCGATCGAAGACATGCAAACACACCCTGCACCACGACAACGAAGGCACAGCCAAAAAAGGTTTTAGGGTTTAATCAAAGAACCAGTGTATCAAGCCTGTGCGCGCGAGGGAACACCCGACTTTGTGTTTTATATTCCTGTTTTATATTTCTGCTTCCTCTTCTTCCTTTTTCATCTTTATGGGGAGCTGGACGATGTTCTTTCTTTTCTTCATCTTTGTAAATACAGTTGTGAGTAGCGCTCTTTTCTGTCCCTTCTCTCTTCCTCATACGTGTGCGCTAATGCCGTTAATATGTCTAACTACCAACTAGCCCAGTTATCAACCCTTTTACAGTTTATTTCTTTTGCATCGGGCCCTTCTCCTTTGAGTTCTGACCTTCCTTTTTTGCCTCCGTGTGTCCTTGTGGACCTGATAGCCAAGAGTGTGTGCAGTGCTCGGGTGGCCTGTTGGCACATTCGAAGGGGTACATGTCCTGTGGAACTCAGGGGACTATGTGGCTTCTTGGTTCCTTCAATAGGACACACAAGAAGAATTTGCCGTATCCTACGATCCGAATACTGGCGTCAGGAGAGGTTCCTGAGGGACTGCCTGAGAGTTGCCTGCTTTTCGGGTAATGGCAACGAACGACAAAAAAGAAGGTTCTACCATGTAATGAACAACACAGCAAATGACTCTACGGAGTTTCTCTGGGAAAGGATCAGGCCACATCTCCCGACCAAAAAAGCAAATGAACCGGTGCCCTCCACGGTGGGTCTCTACACAACACTGGGGGAGGTAAGGATGCCACCGGATATTGGCAAGCGTCTAGGGGTAGGCCCTAAGTACTGTTTCGAACCTGTGGTAAGCCCACCGGAGCTGATTACACTAGCAAAGCAAATCGCCCATAGGACAGTGGAAACGGACAGACCACGGTGCATCTCTGAGTGCGTTGACAGTCTTCACCCTCAGCAGAAGAAAAAACCTGTTGGGCATTTTAAGCCCCTGGTGGATTTTATGGGTGACAATGGACTGCGTGTCTTACTATCAGACAAAGAAGGACAGTTTGTGGTTCTACCAGAAAACATGTACAATGATCGAGCCTCAACAGCAATCACAAAAAATTTCAAACGGGTAGAAGTGGACACCAAGAAAACTCGGGATGCAGCAAAGCGTCTTTGTGAACGTCTGTCTCTAACTCAGTTAGCAGCGAGAATCGGGAAGGTTGACAAGTTTCATCTTGAAGTCTTCTTCTCAGTAAAGACTCATAAAGAAGGAAGCCCATTTAGAGCGATTGTCACCGAAAAGGGTTCCTGGCAAAGACAAGTCGCGTCCTATCTCCAAAAACATCTGTCATCTTTAAAAATACAGGACCCCTTCAAAGTAGTGAATTCTGAGGAAATCGTCGAATTTCTCCGGTTAAAGAGCAATGAGATCGGTACGGCCTTCAGTATAGATGTGGAGAACCTGTTTTACTCATTGCCACATGCACAATTATTGGAGTCTGTGAAGACATGTATTGAAGCCAATGGAGAGCTCTCCTTCAGGGGCTCATGTGGAATTTCAACGGAGAGCTTTTTAGAGCTTTTATATTTTTATCTAACGTCCATGATTGTTGGGTGGCGAGATGGGTGCTATGTACAAAAGTCAGGAGTTTGTATTGGCTCCTGTGTAGCCCCAGTCCTCAGTGACATTTATCTGGGAGCAGTAGACTGTGCCATTGAAAGGGAGCTTGGAAGTCGAGGAGTTAACAAGGTAGCCCGCTATGTGGATGACTTCCTGGTTGTTCTTCAAGATAACACCGATGTGCACACACAGGTGACCAATATTATGGCGACCTTCACTGAGTATGGAGGGGGCCTCAGGTTCACGTATGAGGTCCCTCAAGAAAACGTTCTCCAGTTTTTAGACCTTTCGCTTCACTTAGGTGATACGCATGTGTGCTGGACGTACTCTCCACGCTCCAAGAAACGAATTTTGGATTTCAGTTCGGCTCACTCTAAGATCGTCAAGAGGGGCATTGCTCTGACATGTTTGGGATCCGCGCTCAAGAAATCATGTTGCCACACAATGGAAGCCAGCTTCTCGATGCAGGTTGAAAGACTCAGAAAAGCCAGCTATCCATTACCACTACTGGCTAATGTAGCGGACACCTTGTTGAAAAGGGCAAAAGGCCTCCAAGCCAACAAACAAGATGTAGAAAAGACAAGACCGGTGGTAATCCCGTACCTTCACAAGACGTCACACAATTTAAAGAACGTGGCAGGTCGGTATGGGGTCCGAGTGGTATTTTCAGCCCCGCAAAAAATGAGCAAAATTTGCTCCATAGTCAACTCGCAAGCCGAAGGTGCCACAAGACAGAGGTGCGCAAAAAAACATGCTAAACCTTTTGTTCCGTGCTCTTCAGGCGTGGTATACAAGATTCCACTCTCGTGCGGCAAGGTCTACGTAGGGCAAACAGGCAGGAGTCTTAACGACCGACTTCGCGAGCATGATTATTCTTTGAGAGCCACAGTGGGAGGCCATCTTGCAACACATTGCAAGGAGTGCAATTGTAATCCGCTGTTCGGGGAAACAATAACCCTAGAGAGGCACAAGGATAAAATGACCCGCGAAGTGGTAGAAGCCTTCTACATCATATCCGCAGCTACTAAATGCATTAGTGTTGCATCGGTAGCCTTGACAAGCAAGGAAACAGACTTTTTAAGACGGACAATGCAGAACTCGCATGAGTCACGGGTGCCGCGAGACATCAGGCACGACGACCCAGCGGCAGCCGACCATGGATGATGTGTTCGTCTCCCCCTGACACGGGTGACCAGGCGCGAGCGAAGACATGCAAACACACCCTGCACCACGACAACGAAGGCACAGCCAAAAAAGGTTTTAGGGTTTAATCAAAGAACCAGTGTATCAAGCCTGTGCGCGCGAGGGAACACCCGACTTTGTGTTTTATATTCCTGTTTTATATTTCTGCTTCCTCTTCTTCCTTTTTCATCTTTATGGGGAGCTGGACGATGTTCTTTCTTTTCTTCATCTTTGTAAACACAGTTGTGAGTAGCGCTCTTTTCTGTCCCTTCTCTCTTCCTCATACGTGTGCGCTAATGCCGTTAATATGTCTAACTACCAACTAGCCCAGTTATCAACCCTTTTACAGCCTATTTTGGGGAGTTGTTTCTTCTTTCACAGTGCAATGATGCAACATGTTTTTAATAGAAATGAATGCCGAAATAGAGTATAACAGGGTACCCAAATTTAAAAAAAATCGAAGGTGGTGTTTTTTTTTATTCGCATTGGAATTTTTCTTTGTTTGATTTTTTTCCCATGTTTGCCTAAATATATTGTAACTATTGTGTCACTCAGATACCTTATTTATTTTTTCAATAATAGCCATATATTAGTAAAATAATGTCTCCAAGTTATGTAATAATGATTAAATTATTTCATGAGATACAGATTTCCAAAGTTTGCCATTTGTCGTTCGAGCAGGCATGTTTGGCAATTTTTAGAAAACTAAATAAATTTTTAATAAATATTATTACTTTATATTACAAGCAAGTTGTACCCATAGTTTGTTTGTAAAAGGTTTTAAAATTCTCCTAATTTTATTGTTTTAATTATTCACTTTTAAACTTGCCCCCTCCATCAGTGCGCGTTATTGCAACTGTCCACCTCTTCCTGCCTTACGATTTTTCTTGTCTCCAAATTTTTTTTTCTGGTCAAAACTAAGTGTGGATTTGTTTATACCAGACACTAGACAATGTCATATAAAAACATCAGTTGATTTAAAAATGTCGACCAGCCACCCTTTGGTCGATCTTATCTGAAATCACCCTCGAGGCGGCATCTTTATATCCAGAGTGGCATCTGTGTACGCGCGAAACACTGGCGCGCATTTGAACACGCCGGCGGCGCGTGTATTTGCGACGCGCGTCAAAAAAGGCCAATCAGGTGCCTGGTATTGGCTCCATGTTTTCACACCGTGAGGAAGCAGCTATGCACCCCCACGGACCAAGGTACCACTTGGCGGGGACTATCCGACGTGGTGTTCGAACGCAGCACGTAAACATACAGTGCTCTCGAGCCATCCCCAGCGAATCCCCGCAACGGCAGATACTTAAGCCGTCTACACTGTTAGCAAGTCCCGTGTATTTGGTGAATATTTGGGGTGAAAAACACGCTATTTACACAAATTACCATAAATTTACACGATGAGTAACGGATAATACGTTCAGATATCATGCGAGGTTGTAAAAAACGTGTTTTGGTTCGGTCATACACGCATAACCGTGTAGCCGACCTCGATAACACGCATCGCCTCCGGCGACGACCGCGGCATTGCCGGCTATCGAAGCACCGGAATGCTTGGGGACACACTTAGAAAAGACCGTCGAGACAAATGCCGCGGAAAGAAACATGTCTCAGAAACAGATATGCACCAAAAGCAATTACGCCATGTCGCGGGACGTTGGCGAAACCCGCGCTTACCGTGGCTCGCCGCCATTTTCTGGTCGATGGCAATGCGGCTTCCCTCATGTCGCCCATGTTTGCATTTAGTTTAGGGCTCTTGATAATAGTTTCTTACACACCACAAATAAAGTCATGGGTCCAATTATTCGTTCAAAACAGTTAAAATGGATATAAAAAGCGTGTCTTCGATGTGAACACGTGACATTGCAGTTGGTTTCGTTTTCTTCAACCTTCAACTGCTTCAACTGCAAGCGATCTGGCCGATCTGGCCATGGCGCAAGCGCAACGTCGATGTACGGTGGAAGCAAGAGCCGGTTGGCTTTCGTTCTTTTTGTTTGACCGGAGAAATTTCTGGCAGCCGCTATTGTTTTGGTTTGACGGGACGCGAGAAGCTTCGCATAGAGCTTCGCAGTTTGCGAGCACATAGTGAAGACGTGACCGGAGAAGTGCCCCTGTGATGTTCCCGGAAGACGGAAAGTACCATTCGTCGTGTGTGCTTTGAAAGCGAGGGGAGTCACAGGGTCCACGAGTGCGCAACCACAAGCCAAGGTTCACGACAGCGCTGCGTTCTTCGGCGATCTCGTTCTGTTTGGGGCAACACGGCGATGCGAGAAAGGGCCGAAACGTTCGTGGTGTGTGGTGCGGTGCTTGTAGGTAGAAACCCGCACTAACGCGGAGCTCATATTGGTTGTTGTGGGGTTGCGTTTGACGGGTTTAGCCCCATCGTCGTCAGCTGATCCGGTCCAGCTGGTCGGGGAGGACGCAGCGAGCGTTCTTAAAAGTAAATCTTCCTTCGTTCCGTTTCAAAATGTGGAAGATTCCCGACGCATACCGTGAGTAAAATGCTGCGGACGTTTTCAACAAAATTACGTCGTTTTAATTGAACAAGGGACTTCGGATAGTTTCCCTAAATCTGCCGTTTCTATGCTTCGTGTCGTTAGACTGCATTTGCACAGCGACGTGTTTGCACAGCGACGCACACCGCTCGAGTAGATGATTCGGTCCCGCAAACGACCGGTTATACAGAATTTCAGGGAAACTTAAGTCACCACCGATGTTTTCCTGTAAATCTCGTGTGACTTGTGTGAGTTTGTTGCGCTCATCATGCGGTGTGAATAAACTAGGGCAAGATTTTCTACCTGCCCACAGATGCATGAATTGAGACCAATTTTTTACGTAGAGAACATAGTGGTTTTTTTTTACATTGGGAAGAGGCCCGAATTTGTCTCTTTTCCCTCTGGCACTGCCCCAAGTTTCAAGTTGCAGTTTCAGTAGACATACCTACTAACAGGTACAAACTGCTCTAAAGCAGGTAAAAGACTGGGAAGTCAGGACGGTGCGGACACCGTGTTTTGCGCTTCTCGCAAGGTGACTGATGCTTTTGCGAGGTATGCGGAATATGCAAACGATTTTGTTATGCCCTTCGTTTGCGTCTCCAGAAAAAAGAATAAGATTATTTACAAATTTAGGCGCAATCACATGCCAAGATTTACGATAACAGTGCGTTCGCTTCGGTGGTCCGTGTAGTGGTATTATACGCTGCTTTCTGCAACACCGCGTCATGACGAAGAGCTGGAACGGTCACGGTCTGTGCTGGGCTAGCGGTTGACAGAAACCCGTATCGCCCGCATCGGCACCGAGTGCACTTGGGCTGTTGATGCTCGAGCCTTTCATACGCGGCTTGTCGCCAGCTGATCCTGCTGCTCGACGGTGAGGAAGCGGCGAGTGTGACCTCTGAAGTAAATGTAAATCCTCGTTCATCCAGTTATCCAGTGTCAAAGTGTGGAAGATGTCCAACGTGTACTGAGGGCGGGAACTACGAGCGTTTTGCCTTGCTTTTATAACCGAAACCAGAGCAGCGAGATAATTGCCTTGCGTACTCCAAAATGACGCAAGCAATAAGTTTCAACAGGTCGAGTACGTCACCGCGGATGTAGGCGAGACTGTGCACTGTTTAAACGCTTGCAGTATCCACGAGTGCTACCAGAAAAACGACGTCAACAGAGAAGGAGCTCGCGATTTTAGCATAATGCAGTGCCACGGGCTCGTGAATTTTCACTGTGGCTATATAGAAGTATTTAAAAAAAAACAAAAAAAAACGCATCAGCGCCACATTAATGATCACGAATAACACCGGTCACAAACTCCCAAGCCTCACCGCTTCGCTCGACACCAACACGACATACGACAACAATCTGCATCAAAACGCCCCAAAAGTGAAGGCGTCTGCTCCCGTACGCGTACTACAACTAGCGGAAGTGAAGGGTTGGGCGGATGTCCTTCACAATAATATATAGAAAAAATGCTTTGCGCAAGTATAATTTCCATTGATTATTGAATACGTACTGATAAAATCCCAATCATTTGTTTTTCGCAAAGGACTCATTTTACAGATTTTGCCTCCATACTTTTTAAATGCAAACAGTTCAATTCAATTTTTCAATTTTTATTTTCAGATCAAGTAATACAAAATGAAGAGCTGGCCCACAAAAGCAGCATTCTGCTTGTAAAGCATATATACGCCGCGGAGAGAGTCCATTGTTAGTAGGAAGTGTCGGGCGTAGTGTCGGTGTTGTGTTTGTCTATGTGTCGCTGCTGTGTCCTACGTGGTGCTCGTGTTGTCTGTGATGTATGTAGAGTAGCAGTCTACTCGTGATAGTTCCCAGCGTATAAACCGACTCCTGCTTTTTTTTTTCATTGGTTGCTAGAAATCGCACTAGGTGGCGCAAGTTACCGCCCGATTACAAGAGTTTGCTTGAGCTATTTATCCATGTAAGTTCAATATTCGTTTTTTTTTGTTTGTTTGTTTTTGTTTGTCTAGCGGTTTTGTCGTAGCTGCCGACGCCACCGACCGCCGACGATGCACGTAGGTACCTTTGCACGTAGCTACGTCCGCCGCTCGGAGACTGTTTACTGTGCATAAAAGACATCGAACGAGAACGAACGCGTCCTGTATGCTTTCAGTTCGGCTGAAAGGCGCGGCTGGCTGGGCTCGTCCCTCACCTGTTCTCGGCTGCTGGCCGCCATGTTTCGTAAGGAACACGTTGAACCGTGCTTCTCGGAAGGCAAA